GGCCCCGCTCCTGGTGCCGGTCCCGGTCCGGCCGTACCCGCCATGCCGCGGTACTGCGCCGCCACCCACTGCAAGAACCGCGGCGGCCAGAACGCCAAGGACCAGCGCAAGCTCAGCTTCTACCCGTGAGTGGCCGCGGAGCGGGGCAGGGTCTGGGTGAGCGCTGGCCGTGCGGGTGGTAGTGAGCCCCACCGCGGAAGTAAATAGCCGAAAGACTCAACGCCACCGATAGACCACACTGGTGGTTACCTTGGAACCCCGCCCGGTCCCGGGAGGCTGGAGGGAAACAAGGCTGACCCCGTGAGGGAAGGGAAGGGAAAGTGTAGGGAATAAAGAGTGGACAGCTGGGACATAATCACACACACACACGGTCCCTCTCGCAAGACGGAACTTGGGGAGCGGGCGGTGATCCGCAGCGTCTGAGGACTCTGGAATAGCTGCGGAGGGTCCGTACGGTGAAGAGCAAGGAGATTCGACTAAAAAATAAAATTTGCACTTCTGATTCTGTTTCGCTCCTGCCTGTATGGAAGCGATGTTCCAGCACGGCAGGCAGTCGTGGAAGCTTTGGCTTAATGGTGAGGTGTCTTGTGTATGACGATATACAAGCCAGGAGAAGGGCCCGGAAGAGTAAGCAAGTAAACCTATAATTATATTATTATAACATTCCTTAAAACTAAACTTGCCCAGTAGAATTACTGCCTTACCTGCGCTGTGAACAGAGGCATTGCTGGTTGTTTGGAAGCAGCTGAGTTAGCTGGAACTCGGCTACCTCGGTTACCAGAGCGCAAGTTTATGGTGGCTGCATTGTCCAGACACTGCAAGGACAGTCACCATCCCCGGCCTGCAGTAACCTCTGCACTCTTCTGGTTACGTGGCTGTCGCCTCCCAGGATGGTGAGTTATAAACTATATCGCAATCCTGAGAGAGGCACAGTGCAGGTAACTAAATATTCATGTATTTGTGTAGAATGAAAGTATGGAACTCTTTGCCAACAGAAGCAACTTAAGAAAAATTTGAAAAACAAGTTTCACAATTAGCCTCAAAATCTGTTTTGGCAAAATTTGTACATTAAACCAAGTTTTCGTTCAGTTTCTGATTAGTCATGATTATTCTAAGATCAGGAAGGCTGTGTAGGAAGACCTACAGGAAGACTGCTTTGAAAAAAATTTTATTTTAGATTGAAGGAAAGCTTATTTCCCTGGCACATTTCTAATATGGAATGCATCATAAAACAATCATGAAAATAATTTATTTTCCTTTATGCTTTAGAGAGTGTGAGTGTCACATGGATAATCAAAACAAGTTTGAGCACTGAGACATGTTTATATTCAAATGTATGGCATCAGTATGGAGATGATTGCCAAAACTTAGCTGTTCTGTCTAGCCTTTGAGTTGTGCTGCTTGCTGAGCTTCATGCCTGTGGAAGGGGTGCTGAGATTTGATTTATAGATTTCTCTTGACTTATATTAGTGACTACTACAGACATGAATTGCAGGTTTTATTCCCTTGCCTTTTACCACCAACGAAGAAGTCCTCTGCTGCTCTGTGGTTGGGGTCTGCGTCCCTTCCAGCTAGGATTAGCTCACCTAATCTCAACTGGGCTAACTGCCCATCTTTGTTTTATTTCTTCACTTCTCTGACTTTGGGAGTGATGGCAGCTGCTAAATAAATTCTACTTCCTCTTCCCATTTTCCCCTTTTTTTTTTGTGTCTTGTTTATGCCAGAGGACAGATTCTGTTGATTAGTGAGGGGGTGTTTGAGAATGAGCAGAATTGAGAATTAGCAAAGTTGCCTTTAAGCTAAAATAATAACTTTCACTGTCAAACCCTTCTCTTGAAGAAATAATCTACAGATTATTTTGTTTTCCATCTGAAGCTGGTTGAGTCTGGGTAGATCAGTGGGTCCTGTGTTGTGAGGGTAGCTGCAGTGGGAGCAAGTGTTCTCAAGGCCTTCTTGGAGAGGATGTGGTTGGTGACATGACCTTCAATGAAAGGAAGCCATCATCTTCCTGAGAGACATTTTTGGACCTCTGTAGTAACACCCAGGCTAAGCTGTGTTACAGAGTAGCGTGCTCTGTCATACATGCAAAGCTGCCACTGGGTGTACATGATCTAAGCAGGATTTGGAAAGCCTGAACGTCTAACTTGTCCTCCAGAGGTAATTGTGTTCTTACCAGCACTATTCCTTGCATTCCTGCAGATGTGCAGAGCTGGATGCTTCAAAAGCTTGCTCTGTTTCCTTGGTAATTTGAGGACTTATATGACAACAAATTCAAAAGATTGAGGAAGGGGTGAATACATGCACCTTTATGCTGTGAATTCAGCTCTCTTTCTCTCAAAATCACCTGAGTTTGCTGTTTTGAAACACAGGCCTTGTGTAAGAGTCATTGCTACGTGTGGCTTTTGGAGGAAACTTGCAGCTTCAGGGATTTGAGGGTGGGATCACAAAAGTGGAGATTTTTCCACTGTAATTATTATTGCTCATGATTCTCAGGAATATTGTTTTCTTAACAGTAGTCACTTAACAGTGCTCAGAATTCAATTTATGGTTTATGTGTCATATGTAGTTATATGCTAGAGTTAAAATAAAATTGATATGCACCAGAGAAATATAGAAGCACATTTCAGATACCCTTATACCTGTCTGAGGAGAGGTGAGAGACAAGAGTGGTCTGAATGTTCGTGTTCCCTTTATCATCACCTCTTGACTGTGCATGCATCATAATAAGCCTTTAGTTTCCCTTCAATTTGTCATTAAATAAATTTTGTGTCTTCACACACTTTCCTTTTAATTTAATTGAATCAGAAAGTTCTCTTTCTGATGTAATTTGTCTGACCATTTGCATGTATTTTTAAAGTCAATTTTTTTTCTATGAAGGTATATACTTGTCATTTTCCTTTTCAGGTAGATTAGATGATTGAAAAGTTTATTATAAATTATAACTTATGAGAAATTATAAAATATGATGTGGGCTCCTAATGAGAAAGTTTAATTGATGAAACACAAAATATAGAAATGCTTTGCATCTGCATGCATTTACTTTTGAACAAAATTTAAAGCTTGTATTGGAAATATTCACATTGCCAAATTATCTAATAATCTGAAGAGAAGCATGTATTAGGAGGTGCTCTGTTTAATAGAAAATCCTGGTTGTGTCTAGAAAGACAAGCCCTAGAAATACTATTAATAAAATGAGGACCAATCTTAACTTTCTTTAAATTAAGTCTCAGTATTTCATCTCCCTTCAGTAGAACTGCTTTCTGAGCAAGTGTTGTAGGATCAAACCTTTAAAAACATCTTGGCCATGGATTCTGAAACCCTTTGCTAGCAGAAATCAGAAATTCTGCTGCTGAATTCAGAGAAAATACCCAACTAGGAATAATTTGGATAATGTTTGGTTACCATGTACAAGACATCCAGATTAGCATTTAATACTTAAAATTTTTGAAAAATAATTATTTTAATATTTTCTAAAGGAAGGCTACTTCTAAGTAACAAGATATTCTTATTTAAAACAAAGAAAGACAACAATAATGGAGGCTTTGTATGTTTTCTTGTTTATCTTTTCAACTGCTTTAAAAAGATTTCCACTTCATGATAAAGAGAGACTTGAGAAATGGTTGCGGAATATGAAGAGAGATTCATGGACTCCAAGTAAGCACCAGCTCCTCTGCAGTGATCATTTTACCCCTGATTCCCTGGATGTGCGATGGGGGATACGGTACTTGAAAAATACTGCTGTGCCAACTATTTTCTCTTCCCCAGATGATGAGGTAATCTATTCCTATCTTTTTATCTTTTTTTGTTGTTGTTTTGTAGTACAAAGCTAACCAACTATTGATGTAATACAGATTTTCTAATCTGTCAGATAATCATATTTTATTTAAAAAATAGAATTCCCATCCATCAAAACAGTTTGTCAGCAGTACTGACACAGAACAGGTATGTGATTCCATAATGTAAAGGAAAAGCAACTTCCTCTAGTTTGAGTGGAGTGGTTCAATATCTTTTTTTTAAGTGAAAATTACAGAAGCGTTTACTATAGAAAATAATAAATTTCATATGAGAATATTATGCTTCTAAGCTTTTTCTTATGCAATTACTCTTAATGTTCTTTTAAGGTCTTTTATTAGCTGTAGAGAAATACTGGCTTTGGAATGTATTAGTTTCAAACTATGTACTTCTCTTTCCTGTCCCTAACCTTTAACCTAGGAGCTCAGGACTGTAGACTGCCAAAGACAATCTACAAAGACTAGTCCATCTTGTCCTTCACAGATTTATGCTATTGGTTACATAAAAATACTGTGCTACACAGGCACCTAATCTTGATCAAACCTATGCTAATTCTCTTCTAGCATGTATTTATCTTCCTCTGGATCATCAGTTGGAGGTGGGAGGAATGGAAGGGCTGGTTTTAAGGCTAAATAAGTGAAACTGAAATACGTAGCTAATTAATTTTACAAAACAGTTTCTTTTTAGTCACGAAGTACTCTGTCTTCTTGAACATCTGCAATTGTTGTCTAGACTCTTTTGACTTTGTGGAGTGAAAATTGATCTTGATAAATCTCTCAAATACAAAAATAGAAAATCTTGCAAGTTGTGGCAGTACTAATTTAGCAAGAAATGACTTTGCTTTAACTTCCCCCTGCCCTGGTTCAATAGATCTCTCACATTCCTGTGCTGCTATTGACAACTCTTCTACAGCAACAGACAGCAGTAAATTTGGATCTGGACTTTGCTGTCCTGTGCTTCTGTGCACAGATAAGCTGTGTGTTTTGAGCCCGAAGAAAGGTTGTCTGTTATCCACCTCTTCATTCTCTTGATATGCACGTGACCATAGATCAGTCATAGTACACCTACAAGGGTGGAAAGTAGACTTATTAAGGTAGCAAACTTTTTATGCAAAAACTTTTGTGTTGCCAAGAACATATCAATGCCTTCTCTAAATTATTTTGGCATCAGCAATATATATCTGAGAAATCCCAGATGGATTTATCCAGTTTGGAAAAGTAATTTCTGTGCTTATTTTTAATATATCCATCATTTTCCTGCTTTCAAAAGAAAAAAAAATATGCCAGTGCTTTGTACCTGTGATTCTGTGAACTTGCTTTCCTGTGGTCTCACTTCTCTCTCTGGCATTACTCTATTCTCCCTGCACTTTTCCGAATATCAAATCACATGTTTTTAGTGACCACATCAGCAAATCAACAATATCTTTTGACTTGACCTCTAGTTCTCTACTTGCCCCAAACCTTAACTTTCTACATAGACTGAGTATTCAGAAAGATATGGATATGAATTCTTATTTTGGGGAAAAATTTCTGATTAGTGTGTCTCTGACTAAAGGTTGAGGAAAAGGAAACTGGGACCCCAATCTGCCTTTGGAAACATGAGAGCAAAGAATTGCTGTATTTGCATATTGCTCACCACCACCTTGCTTTATGTATTACTGAGCAAGTGAAGGAAGTCTTCCCAGAAATGCTTAATGATTCTTCATAAAACATTTCATTCTGTTTCTTCTTCTAAATAAAGAATGCTTGCGGCTCAAGAGCAGTGATAGTTGCTGGCATTTCAGTATCAGTAACTACTCTACATTAGCTTGCAAGGGTTTTTATTTGAATATTGACCTACAAGTGGGAGGGCAGGGACTGATAGACAAGGAGGTTTTCAATGCAAGTTAGAGTCTTCCTTTAAGCAACTGTCCTGAGACTTGTTTTGGTGCATTTCCTTCAACATTAATGGCAGTTCTGCTATGTGAGATTTCGGGAACATTTATATAATATATTTTGTAAGAGATTTGTCTAGTTAAAATACTTAGTCTGAGACAGTCTTTTTCAGCTGCAAATAAGACAGAGAAAGGGAACTGCTTCATTTTCACAAAATCCCAAAGATTGACATGATGTTAGGTATTGTCTTTGAAAATGTAAAGCTAACCAAATGAATGCTATTTCTGTATAAATTTTCCAGTTCTTCTGAGGCTGAAATTTCAAATAAAACTGAATCACAAAGTTGAATGCACTTAGGATACTTCAGATTGCATACATACTTTTAGGAACATACATTTTGAAATTATCTTTTTCATTGTAATAAATTTTTTCAGCCTGGCCTCTTTTTTTTTTAATTTCTTTTTCCTGTTTTCCTTTTTTTAATTTTTTGGTTGGTTGGTTGGTTTGGTTGAGGTTTTTGCCTGGCCTATATTTAATTAGCAAAGTTAAAACTGTTTATTTTTCTGTTTCTTTGTTCTGTATGTTTTTTTGTTTCAGTTCCCATGCACACAGTTTTGCATGAGTACAGATTCTTCAGAGTGCTCTTTATGTAATTAGATCTACTAGAAAAAATAAGACTCCCACTATTTTTGTATTTTTGTTTCACTGACTGACATACCTAAAAGTATTATTATTGTTATTATTTATTACAAATATTATTTATTACAAATATAATTATTTGTGTATAATAAATATAATGTAATCAAAGGTAATCATGTGATGTAGTTTATTGAAGGAAGGGAAAAGAAAGTGGCTAAAAAAGGATAAGCTTCAAATTGTCTCAGTATCAACTTCAGTTTAAAGTCCTGTTAACTTCATATTTTTCTGCTAAGATCTCTATCTATAAGCAAAAAAAAGGTTTCCATTTTTATAAAGTGTAAAATTTAGTTGGCAGAATTGAATTGCTGGTTTACAGTCATCTTTAATGCAAGAACTTTGTGCTGTGTACATTTAATATATTTAATACAATGTTTCAGATGGTAATAGAAGATGCCAGCTAGTCTTTGTGTAGCCCCTTCTCTTCAAGTGCATTTAAAATTATGGTATCTTGTGTGTAAATCAGTACAAATTCCCTAGAGTTTGACAAAAACCTACAATAAAACAAATAAAAAAACCCAAACCACAATAAGAAAAAAAAAACAAACCAACTATAAAACCTAACACTATTAGCACTTTTAGAGCTTTAAAAATGGTATTTTAACATTTAGGACCTGAAGCAAAGTTCTGGAAGATGCTTACATGAATTCTGAGGCCTCTGATGTAATTTTTAAACAGTACTCATCTAAGTTAGTCCTTTTGCAGTAGCATGCTATAAATGAGACTTAATTTTTTTATGCTTAGTTGTTTTCTTGTTACAAGGTGGTAATTTTCTTTTTTTATTTTTTTTTCTCCTCCAGGAAAAAGATTCTTCTGAAAGCAGTTCCCAACAGGTACAGAGAGAAGAGCGGGCAGAAACAAATGTGTCAGAGAAAGTATCTGTACCGCTTGAACCTTGTATACCAAAGAAAAATCCTGTAATTGCACAAAATGTAGAGGAAAAGGTGTTTTTTTCAGAAGTGGGTTGCTCAACTGCACTGAGTAAACCTTTACAAATTCAAAACCTGCAGCTTCCAGATGAAGGTGGCTTTCAGGCAGACAGTGTCATTCTTGATAGTTCTTCTGAGCAGTATATACATCAGCCTAATCCTGTTTTAATGACAACAGCAGTCCAGAGCATGGAAGGTACTAGTGTTCAAACTTCTGTAGAGGATTCAGGAGGTTGTACAGCTACAGTGCTGCAATTTACAGACCCTGACTACTTGAGTTCATCTCTGAAACTGAACAATGCTTTTGGGTTGGTTACTGACTATGCAGTTGAAAATTCTGTCCCTCACGTGGTCTGTTCTGCTGAAGTGCAGACAAGTGAAGATGCAGTTTTACTGAGTACAGTCACACAAACTATTGAACAGTTCAGTGGAAGTGAAGAGTCTGTCATTGCTATTATTATGCCAGCTGAGAGTCCAGAAGAGCCTGAAAGAGTAAGTAGTTCTTTTCTGCCTGTTAAGGAAGAGTTTCTTGACATAGACAAGACAGAAGTGAATGAATATGACGGAAATGAAATACTGCAGACTGAGCATTCATACTGCAGACAAGACATAGGCAGAGATCACCTTTGGCAGAAAATTTCAAAACTCCACTCTAAGATAACTTTACTTGAAATGCAGGAGGTAAAAACTTTGGGGAGACTCAGGTCCTTGGAAGCTTTTATTAGACAACTGAAGCAAGAAAATCTGCTTTCTGAAGAAAAGCTGAAGATGGTAGAAAACTACTTTACAACACTTGAAGTGACTATGTTACAGTAAAGACTTTCAATTGGTGGTTCTAAAATATCTTTTTAGTCTGTTTGACTGTACTTTTGGACAAATTAACTTTGTTTCCAGTTCTGATGTTTTAAATATCTAATGCTAATTGTGTGAATAGCAAATACTCTTTAAAATATTACATCAGTCAAAGCTAAGTGGAGAATTTTGTCTGTAAAACATGACTGACAAGTAAGATTAAAAAAAAACAACCCTGAATTGGGTGAAGTTTTCTTAAGTGTGTGAATTAAGTCAATAAAACGTAATTGAACCCTTCCTTAGCTGCAGGCTTCTTTGAAACATGCAATGCCTGCATTTGGGACAGCAGGAGAATTGACAGAATAAGCATATAGGATGAACAATTATATATATATATATATATATATATATATATATATATGCATTGTCCAGTGAGGCCAAAATTGCTCTTTAGTTTTCTGTTCATCTAACAATTGTTCTGGTAGTTTTTTGTACACTTTGATATTATTAAAATTGTTTCTTCATAAAAGATGTTTCCTTTCATTTGTTTCTAGAAACAAAAATTCTCATAAGAATATTGTTCCAGTAGACAGGCCCATCTCATTTTTAATTTTTTTGTTATGATTCAGCTCAAGTGGAAAGCAATCTTAATCATAGATATTTTTGCTAGTTAGTAAAAGGGAGAGCTCTGTTTAGTGAGTGCTGTCTGCATTGATCCTCTTACAGCCTACAGCTGGGTAATGCATGTACCCTTAATAATACACAGAAGAAAATGTTCTACAGAGCAGGTTGCTAGTGGAAGTAGCAGAACTTTACTTTGCAAGAAACAGAATTACAGAACTAGAAAATTACTCCCCTTTACTGATTTTATTAACTATTTCTAGTGCATAGGTTATCACTGTAGTAGACAGATACTGTAATTAATTTTGAGGAAAATTAATTTGCTTAAATACTTTCTGCTTATTCTGTCAGTGTCCCACTCTTTGGATCTAGTATGCTCTAGTACAGTGAAAAAGTCCTAGATCGTCTGGTCCCTGATGAGACATCATAGCTGCTCTAGGTGATCCTTGTGACACCCCTTCCAGCTGAAATCTTCTGGTATATTATATTCTACAGCCATTAGATTGCTTGAGGATGTGTTTTTCATTATTCACGATGGTGTCATCACCACCACCACAAGTTCAGTCTGGGACTGGAGCAAACTAGTTCCTTTTCAATGTTATTTCTCTTTTACACACTTTCTAAACTCTTCTGGTAATCTTTTCATGAGGAATTTAGAATCGGTTCACAACAGCTACAAAGCTGGCCTCCAACTGGATAGTAAGTTAGAAACAAATCTCAAAATTTTTGAGACTTGGAATATTTTGAAGTGCACATGTTGGCCTGCAAAAGCATAATGTTGTAGGAGGTTAGTCTGCATTAATAACCACAGGATTAGGCTTACTTTGTCCTTCAACTCATTAACTTCTTTCAGACTTTAAGCACAGGTTATGCTTGGTAAAATTGCTAAAGTACATAAAGGTCACTTATTATATGGTGAGTTACTTACCTTGTCTCTGACCTGCTCATTTTGCTCTCCCTGTAAGAAAAGAACATTCCTGTTCTGCTTTGTGTGCTATGAAATCACAAGGAGTGTCCTGTGTACTGTAGAAACACTGCTGCCATATCTGATCCCATCTTGGGAACATTGTCCAGGTGGCCCCTCTGGACTGCACGTTTTGTAATGTTTTACAGAGTAAGAGATCTTTCAAAGCGATTTACAAAATGCTACATGAAATTGCTAAATGAGCTGGCAACTTTAGAAGTTTCATCAATGTACTAGAAATCCTCTGCTAATGGTGGTTATTTTAAGACTAACAACCCATTTCAAAAGTTCGCTGTAGTCCTTGAATGGCAGTGAGAGTTCAGATACGGCAAAAGAGTTGCAACACCATAAGCTGTTGTCTCAACAATACTTTCCCCCAGAAATTTGTGGGGTTTAATATCGGATTTGCATCGCTGGTATATTTTTGCTTTTACTAAGAGCTTACAGTATTAAAATTGAGAATATTGTTCATGGCATAGGTTTCTTTAAATGGGGGAAAACCCCAAATGCTCAGTTTGTCTTTTTTTTATGGAGTTTCTTGGGACTTACGTGGGTTGACTTTGGCTGGATGCCAGCTGCCCACCAAGCTGTTCTATGTCTCCCATCTGGACAGGAGAGAGAAAACCAGATGGAAAACAACTCACAGGTTGAGATAAGGCAGTTTACTAAAGCAAAAGCAAAAGCTTGCATGTCACACAAGCAAAGAGAAATAAAAAGAAGGGTTAATTCTCTGCTTCATATTGGCAGTGACATTCAGCCACTTCCCAGGAAGCAGCGCTTCAGCATGTGGTTGCTCCAAAAGGCAAATACTGTAAATAACAAATTACCCCCCTTCCTCTTCCTTCCCTTAGGTTTTATATGTGAGCTGATACCATATGGTATGGAATATCCCTTTGGACTACTTGGGTCAGCTGTCCTGGTTGTGTCCCCTCCTGGGATCTTGCCCACCCCTGGCCAGGAGTTTGGGGAGACTGCGCTGATGCTGTGCCAGTGCTGCTCAGCTGCAGCCAAAGCACCTGTGTGCTTTCAGCACCTTTCCAGCTACCTGTGCACAGCACAGCACCATGAGGGCTGCTCTGGGGAAATGAACTTTGTCTCAGTCCTAGGTTATAGCAGAAACACTCTAACTCTACAAGCCTCTCCCAGGTTTTCAAATTTCACTTCAGAGTGTGTTTCAGATCAATGGGTGGATATATTAGTTTAAAATGAATTAGCATTATAGTTGGCTGTTGCTGCCGACAGGAAGAAATGTCTGGTCCTTTGCTTCAGTTATACACTAACCCTGAATTATTACAAGTAAGGAGAAATGGCATGTTGAGAATCAACAAACCCATCTGAATTAGATGCTATGTGTGCAGTGTGATTTCAGTGTTTCCTAATCATAAAGTGCAACCTTGCACACACACAATTTTAGTTCACTAAGCTTTATGGGCACTTCTGCTATACATTACTCCTGGAACTTTTGTGAGAGGTTGCAGCTGCACAGTAATGGGTACCACAAAAGACCCATCTCCATCCTGAGCAACCCAGGAGACACTGTGAGCAGCAGAATGAATTCTTTAAGCACCCAGGCAGAACCAGACAAATTCCACATCCAGCCCTGGGAAAAGGCATTAGAGGTGAATGATTTGGTTCCTCTCCATGAATTCCACAAACAGGAACTGTCTTGTTGTGTTGTAAGGCTGGAGCAGAAGCAGCAGCTGCACTCTGAGGCCTTGTGAGATGCTCAGGGAAATGGGAGGCAGGAGTGGGCTTTGGCATTGGTACTGGCAGACGTGCTCCTCTGTGGGGCATCTCTGCACTAATGCAGCACCAATTGCAGGTGCTGTCCCCCCTCGTTGCATTCTCAATGCCAGGCACAGCTCAAAGCTGCAAAGAAAGCCAAGTTGTGTGCTGGAAGTCATGAATTGCCAGCACCAAGGCAGGAGGGGAGAGAAACAGAGAAAGGGAGCAGGACAGATTATATGCTCATTAATTACTTCAAAATTATCTTAGATTGGGACAAAAAAAAATACTATCCTTTGTTCATTTATGAGGCAATTTTCTGACTTACTAACATGAGCTAATTTAAATTTCTTCAGCCCCAAGTGGATCTCTGTAAATGCTTTAGAATTTTATTCCCACTTAGGAAAAAAATAAAAAAAAATTAAAAATCACTGCTCTATTTTCTCCTTTACCAGTTAATTTCTCCATTACCAGTGTAATGGATTTCTAATTTACCAGACCATTTACTGCTACCAAGATATGAGTTTCAGACAAAATGTTTTCCACAAAGAAAACAGTTAGAATAAAGCATCTAAACAGACGTTTTCCAGGAAACATATCTCTTGGCATTGTTAAATATTATGGGGCACATTGCAAAAAATTATCACTGTTTAAATACCTGCCTTTCCTGTAAAGGATTGACATTTCTGAGCACACAAAAGCAATTTAGAAGGTTTTTTCATAGCCATTCAGAAAGGTTAAACAGTATAGATGCTTATGGAATGTGTGTACATTTCTGTATAAAATAGAAATTAGAAAAAAGAAATGTAGTTATTTTGCATATAACTAAAGCAGCAGTGCTCCCTGTAAACAGCAGATGGTGCTGCTGGATCACGCTGCAGAAGTGAAACTAAAGACATGCATTTTATTTTTATTCTGTTGTTGATTAAACATATGCAAACAGATTAACAATGCGGGGTTTGGGACTTTTTTCCCCCTTATTTCAGATGTATCTTTAAATCTCAAATGTATCTTTGATACGGAAGGGTAGAGTATGAACAAAACAGTGTGACATTCTCTTCAATCTTACAGAAATAAAGCTTCAGATAAAATGAAACTCATTTATATTCTGAACATAAAACATTAAACTCGAGAGCCTTCTGCTCAAATGAATGGCAGAAAGAAATGTATTCACTGTCCTTACGTGGAGCATGATTGCATTCCTCATTTGTTGAAGTGGGTCAGTGATTACTGTTTGAATCCCGTCAACAGTTTAGCGTTGCTTATTTGCATATTAATCGGGATAATAGAGTGAGTGTTTAATCACACCCTTCATCAGGGGTGTCTGGTTTGCTGCTCAAGCGCTGCAGCCATGCTTTTGAGAAGGGGAAGATATGTGCACAACATCTTCTGTGTGGCATAACACCCTTTGAATTTTGCTGAGAATATACAACCTGAGACGATCAGAATAGGTGAGTGTTGGTTGTACACACACACGAACGTTTCTTCTTCCTTTTTTCAGTGTTACTTTCAAAATGTTACAGATATTTGGGCATTACAGTAAAGGTTAGAAGTGCATATGTGATTTTCTGGATGAAAGGAACAGGGCAGCAGCAGTGGCACTGCAAAACCAGATAGTGAAGGGATATGTATCAAGGCAACCCCTGGCTTCAGAGGCATAAATAATCCTCAAGGATGATTGTTGTTTCTCTGAGTCCTCAGTAAGTGGTGGTCAGTCCCTCCACCACAGCCTCCTGAAAGAAGTCATCTCACCTGACTCTGTATGTCTCTACCATGAGGTGCACCACAGTTAAATTCTGTTTGATATGAAGAAGAAGAAATTAACTAAGTAAATGTCTGTTCATCTACTGAATATAGCTGGGGGATATTCTAGACATATATTTATATATATATATATATATATATATATATATATATACACATATATATAATAAATACCCAAGTATATAGTATATATTATAAATACCTAAGTTCCCTAATACAAATCTCCCCTGTTTCCAAATGTCTTTCCAAATCACTTTTGCTTCTCAGACAGGGACTAGTTAGAAAGACTGAAGTCTAACACGAAGGAATTGAGCACAACAATCCTTCAAAATTGTGCCTCAGGTTTCCTGTACAGCCAGTGACAAGATGAAGATCTTTGAAAATTCTAGAAGGGATTTTGCTCAGATATTTCATTTGTATAGATACAATCCTTTCTTTTCCTTAAGATTTTGAAAAACACCTCTATCTCTGTAAGAAATTTGAAGGAAACTAAGAAAACTGATTCACCAGGTGCCTGCCTTAGCCAAAGTACCTCGAAAGCACAAGTCTTGGTGCTGCAAAGCATCCTCACAAGGTGCACTTCAGCTGTAAGAGCTCTGTGCCCCTCTATTAATAGTACAAACTGGTTGCAGTCAGACACATTTGACCTCTGGCAGCCCCTCGGGCCTGAAAACAAACTTGTTGCTGCTATAGCTCCTCTCTGGAGTGGCAGCAAACACCACAAGGGGTCCTTTTCAGCCATGTCTGCTTGGGTAAGCACATTATAGATCACAAATACCGGCAGTCTGACCTTCGTTCCGAGTCAGTAGACTATGAAGCCACTAGGCTTTAGGAGCTCTCAGTGACAAGAATAGCTACTGTTTGGAGATAATAAAGACATGAGAGGGATAGTTTCACAGCAAGCAATATATATAAAGCCCTTTAGATCCTATGCTTAGCAGAAGCTGTTATTAATCTTACATCAAGTTTCTTTATTCGGTGTTTTATGCGGTGAGAAAACCTGTACCGTGTAAAGCTGGCTCTAGCTGGAGGGTAGTTACAGACTGTCCTTTCTTTTTGGCTGGACCAGAGTTAATTTTCCTCTCAGTAGCTGGTATAGTGCCATGGCTTTTTGGATTCATCATGAGAATAATGTTGATAACTCAGTGATGTTTTAATTGTTGTGAAGCAGTGCTTACCCTGAGTCAAGGAGTTTCCAGTTTCCCATGCTCTGCTAGGGAGGAGCTGCACAAGAAGCTGGGAGGGGGCACGGCCAGGACAGCTGACCCAAAGTGGCCAAAGGGATATGCCATGCCATAGAACATCATGTCCAGTTTATAAATTGGGAGAAGGTGGCCAGGAGCTGCAGATCAGTGCTCAGTGATGGCCTGGGTATCAGCCAGCAGGTGGTGAGCAGTTGGGTTGCACATCACTTACCTTTCTAGGGGTTTATTTCCCTCTCTCTTATTTTTTTTTTTTTAATTTCCATTTTTATACAATTACTACTAATTTTATATTATATTTTATTTAAAATATTAAACTGTTCTTATCTCAACCCACATGTTTTGCCTTTTCTTTATTCCCAGTTATCTCTCCCATCCTGCAGGGAGCCGAGGGAGTGAGCAGCTTCATGGTACTTAGCTGCTGGCTGGGGTTAAGCCATGGCTTGGAGTGACAGCCCCATATTGCCTCAGTGCCCACTGACAGACTATGAATACTCTCACAGCACTGAATTAACCTCCCCAGGGCTGGCTCCAGCAGACTGACAGGCTGTTTGCAGGAAATGGTGAATGTTCTGCTGCTGCCAGATAAGGACGATACAACAGCAGACTCTTTCCAAGCCAGAGTCCCAACCAACATCTGTGGAAAGGCATGCACACCTCACCAGCAGCACAGCAGCCCCTCTCTGAGGTTCAGTTATCTGTCTAGTCCCTTAAGAAGTGGGGGGACTCTCTCCCAATGAGCTCAGTTTCCCACCTGGTACAGAAACACTGCGTTTTCCCACTGTGAGGAAAGCACATATTCAAGGTTTGGCTGGCTCAGAGGACATCTGCTTTGACCTGAATCACAGCTCAGATCTCCAGCAGGGACTTGACAAAGAAGGAAAACCTGGACTAATGCTGGCTTATATTCTTTTATTTCCTCCTCCTTACTGTAGTGAAAGAGGAACAAATAATCTGAGGCTCTGAGACTTACTGGGGTAGGAAATCCTGCAAGGGAAAAAAACCCACAGATGATGAGCACAAAACTATGTTTTATTTATGACCATTAATTAGAAGAAATTTAAAAAAATCCTAATTTGATTTTTACTTTAAAATATATTAGACACTGACACATATCTGAGACTTGCTACAGAAACATGAGCTCAGCCACAGCTTCATCATCTTAGGTGACTAATTTCACAGCTATTAAACATATAAATCACCATAATGATATCACAGTCATAAATCCAAATGAAATTTTATTTTACATCTTTCACATTAAAACCATAAATTTGTTTCTTCAAGTATCCAGTTTGTGAGATTTCAATAAATTTTATTCTGTATTTTTACGTATGAAATAAATTTACAGATTTATCAATGGGGTTTGGTGTGTACTGAAGGATTGCAGACATTCTTTGTTTACTTGTTTTTGTTCACCTTTTACACTGATCTCATTTCAGGACTTCAAAAATACAACATCCTATTGCAAAATCGCTCATCAGGCTGCCAGGAGCCTGCTGCTTGCAGCAAGCATCGCTTACAGCCTACATCTCTTTGTCTTGCCACAAGCTCACACGTTAAACTTGTGGGGTGTAGATATGTCCCTGGTTTACTGCACTGAAATCCTCAGCTTCCTTTGACTGCACCCTGGCTGGTAAAAACAATTATCTTCCACCAGCTAATGTAAATATGTTAGATGTTGCCTTTTCAATGGGTAGAATAGCTTTTTAACCTACTTGATTCAAAATTAACTCTCCATTATGTCTGAAAAGACTTTGCTTATAATAATCTGTCAGAGTGGGGGGTCTGCAGCTCCGGCTCCCTCACTATTGATAGCAGATAGTATATTGAAATGGAAGAAAAAAAGCAAAGAATACAATACTAAAACACAGCTATGGATCTTGTCTAATAATTTGATCTGTTTCTTTGATAAATACAGATATGAAAAATTTGCCATCAACAGCTGTGTAGATAATACAATAGTGGAAATCATTGATCTAATCCCCGTCATAAGAGACAGAAAAGATGGAAAACTTGTGGGAGTCACTGTCACAACTGCCTGTTGAAAACACCTGCAGGTTTTTTACATTTTGTAGTTACCACAGGAAAAAAATAATCTGACTGTTAAAGAAATGTTGTAAGTTTCTCAAATAATTTTTTTAGTTAGAAGTGAAAGGTTTTATTTGGGTTTTAAATAAGAACAACAATAATCAAGAACAACAACAATAATCAAGAACAACTAAAATTATAAGCTTTTAACCTAAGTTTAATTGGAGGTGAAATGATGCTGTGAGAGTCATGCATTGATGTGAACACAATGCTGAAACGATGGTAATTGATACAGAGGCAGACAGCTTTTGCTCTGTTACACACGCACACGTGCACACCCCAAAAACTCTCAAGATACTGTACTTGCTTTAAAAAGCAAAAAGATATTTTGATGATGTTGCCAAAACAAGTCTACACACACTACGACTTTCTCCCTCTAAGCACAAAAACCAACACATTCTTGATTCTCAACATTTATTGTAAAAATGCATTTTATTGTTTATATTATGATTTTTTAACAATAGAACATGAAGCAGTAGTGAAATGTTATATGACAGAGTAATATGTCTTGCCTTTTTATTCAGGACAGTCTCTAAAACTGCAGTATTTGACATGAGTATTTTACATTTGACAGGATCAATAACCTTCCAGGAAATACCCCTTACTGCTTTGTAATGGGAAAATTGATGGATTTTGAAACAGAAACAAGTTATCTTCCTGAAAAGCTGTAACTGTGAATGAACAATTTTAAATGAATGCTGACACCTGCACAACAACCATGTTTCTGCAGTTCTCCAGAGAAAATGCAGGAGCAAATAACATTTCAGAGCTGCAGGGACATTAAAAACATTAAGTGTTCATTTTGATTTTCTTCCCAAAAGATTTATGATTTTCAAGGGATATGAGTAACATAAACAAAAGTAGAGTCATTAATTTTAAAAATTTAAATCAACCCTGATATCCTTTGTTCTCCACACAGACCATTTCCTGTCCTTTACAACAAAAGTCCATTTTTCTTATGAAAGAAATTCCCTGAGCCAGCCTCAGGCAGTCAGCCCTGTGCAAGATCCCACAAACAATGTGAAAACTCAGCAGAGACCTAGTCAGATGTGAGACACTTATCACTGTAGTTCCAAATACATGGCCCTCTAACATGGAATTTATGGAAAACAAAGATTACAAATTTCCACTGCACTTTCTCCCAGCCCCCTTTCTCAGGGCAAGATGTAGGTAATTCCAAACAGAAAGCTTTTCATATTGCTGCACTTTCCTCAAGTATTTCTATTCTTAAGAGGAAGTTAAAGACTAAAGGTAGCATTTTAAAGGTATGTAGGTGTTACACATCAGGCTGCCTTTACAAATCATGCCACTGATCTTTTTTATTCCCTGCAGATCCAAGACGCTTGGCCAGAGGCAGGAAGTGGTGTGCCAAGGCTGGCAGTCTGTGCCAGTGGCCTGGAGGCACAACACACACCCCAGGCACACCTCCTGCTCACAGCCTCAAAGGGACAGCAGCAGCTGCTAAGATGAGGTGACACAATTTATACAGACTCAGGTCTGGGAGGATGCTAGAAATGCTAAAAGAGAGAGCTGATTCCATTGTCCCATTGCCACCTGACATGGTGTAATAACAAAGCACTCAAGCACTATACTATATGAAATTTATGCAGACCTGAAATAACAAAAGGCCTGGCCTCAACATACTCAGTGCTTCCTCTGGGAAATGCTACTCCTTCTTCTCCCTCAAATATATCAGAGTCTCACAAAATGAAATTCACAGTGAAGTCAGGATGCCCCAGAGCTGCCTCCCAGCCAGCTGTGATTTCTTCTTGTTGCAAAGGGCTTCGGAGCAACCCCAATAAAGGACAAATATTTGAGTCTAGTGTCACATCTGATGTCGGAAAAAAGGTCACTGTAAGGTAGCTCCCAAAGGAAGAAATGCAAACCTTCCCGTCCAGAGTGAAAACATTTGAGTCATTTGAAACATGAAACTATTTGAAACCTGCCACAAATACCATAAGCAAAATGCAGCTCTCTAAGAACAGGAATCCTGGCAAAGATGACCCACATGCCTTGTACCATTTGCAAACTCCATTATTCCTTTATTGCCAACTGCTTACTTTTAGAGCAGCTTCACCAAACCACACGTACAACATGCCTTTGGCATTGCACTTCATCTTTATTCAAAACTCCTAAGTGGTCAATATTTTTCTTCTAAATGAAATCCTTAGTAATAAATATTCAGATTATTTAATTCAATGAATATTGTGTTTCTGTTTTAAAATTTGGTGGGAAGGGAATCAATGCTCTTAAAACTGATGAAAAGCTTTGTAACTGGAAACACTGGTTTTAGATTTGAGCCAAAACATAAATCTAACATGAAAAATGTAAGAGAAGAGGAACTAACTTGTGATCCTGAAGGGACTATGAAACATGCTATAAAAATATTTTTAAAGAGTTTGAGAGAATGAGTGCCAAATTAACACAAAATGTCAAACTTTGACCCACATTCCCTCTCCCATGACCCATTTCAACTGCCATATAACTGCCCACTGGCAAAATTTCCATTGCTGTTTTGAAGGGAACGTGGCTCAGGAGTGATGGACCCTGCAAACACACCCAGTTCTGAATATAATAGAAGAATCAACTAAAAAGTAAAAGAAAGATGATTTCACCACCCCTATTGCATAGATCTAGAGCCAGACAGGGACATGAACGGCCTTGGGAAAGCTGAGAAAAGACTCTACATCTTCCAAGCTATAGATCTAATTAAGTATTCATGCACAAATTACAAAATCCCAGAAATATGGATTCCAGCAGGGCTCTGGAGGTCACTTACTGTGTTTCCCTCTCACAGCAGCCCTTCCCCTCCAGCACTGAAGCCCTGATGCAATGGGATTCTCCAAGCTCTCTGCCAGGAGCAGGGAGAGGACAAGGGTCCTGCTACTGGCATGGCCCACAGCACACTCTGAAACACTCTTTTTTCAACCAATAAACACTGCCTGAAACAAAAGGCAGGTGTTCCCAGTTATAATTTCTGAATATAATATTGGCTCAAAGATATGCTTGTGTTCACACAAGAATCTGTAGACCAGGCAGACATTTTATGGTGGAAGCCTTTTCAATTACTTTTGTACTGAGAGGAGGGGAAGGAGAAGGTGTAGCTTTTCCCTTGGTTTTGCTACTGGTGAAAATTTGTCATCAAAGGAAAAAAAGAAAGCTGGAACAAGAATGACAATGATTCCTATCCATGTCCCAACTGTACTCTGTGGCTGCAAAAATGCCATTTTGATTTTAAGATTGCATGCAGAGCTCTGCTTCTGCTGAATGGGAAGTGAATCATCATGATGCAAAACATCAGAATTAATGGAGAAAATTCACTGTACTTTACCTTCTCCAGTTAGGGGGAAATGCAAAAAGAAAATGTACTTTATTCTTTCACAAATCTTCTCAGAATTAGAGCAAATACTTTAGTGTTAACAATCTATTTTTGCTGACAACAATATTGCTGACAACAATTCCTTTATCATCCTTCCCATTGCCATATTTAGCAAGAAATAGTAGGTGAAAGGCTGGAAAACAAGGGGGCAGCAGAGCCTCTTTCAGGCTTTGAAGTTACAATGGCATTGGAGACATCCCAGCATGATTAAGGGAAATCCAGGAACATCCACTTGAATCAGTGGCAGTGGAACAGCATAATCCTTCCACACTAAGCCCTGCTTTGTTTTCAGATTGTGCTGCGGATCCTAATGAGAAATATCAATGGGAGAGTAGAAAGGGGCCTGGATATCAGTTTATATTCTTTGGAATAGACAGGGTCATTCCTACTTCTGATAGCATCCCCCAGGGCTGCCAGCTACCTCTAAACTCTGCTTTTATTGGCCAATATCTGAAATCAGTCTCTGAAGTCAATCACCAAAATCATTACCAATCATTTATATCTGTATATTCATATACATATTTCTGTAGAGGTTTAAGTTTTTTTCCTTATAGGTAAAGACACCAAGAAATATAAAATCAGAAAAGCCAACCTGTGAGTACCATTTTACGGGTTTAATTATGGATTTTGACATACTCCTGTGATCCGAGGCAGTCTCAGCATATTCTGATTAAAAGTGTGAAAACATGTTCCCAGGGAAGAAAAAAGTGTCAGATTCTTTCCCCAGGGAAGTTGAACTAATTGGCACACTGTTTGCCTGGGAATGACTGAAATGTAACAGAGAACTTAAATGATAAAGAAACATCTTGTCATTGATAAATCCTCTTATTTTCCATATGCCACTCCAGTTATTTCACTGGGTCACACAACTATTAAAAGCTTCGAACACTTGATTCTAAAGGAAACCTCTGCTTTTAGCAGCATGGCTATTACAATATGCAAACTGTCTCATTTGACAGCCTGAGCTGCCCTTACACAGTCTGGTAGGCTGCAGACAGACACTATTTTCCACACAAAGAGCCTTTCTGCTTGAGCAGCTCCCATCAGACATCACTACCAGCAGCACACCATGATATCCAAGTGAGCAGCTGCCAAGCTCATCAACACAGCATGGTAATACTCAGGCATGAGGAGCAGAGAGGAGCTTACAACCTCCAGCAGGCTAAGGGATCTGTACCAGGTTGATGTGCCTAGGGTTTAGCTTTTGACAATTTGCAGGCCCCTGGGAGATGGTGTTTCAGTGGTGTTTCAATTATATGCTCTCTTTTGGTTGAATTTTCACTAAGAACGAAGTGCCTTGCAGATATCTTGGGGCCTTCTGTAAAATTTAATTTATTTTCCAGTGTTTTCCTCTATTCTTTGCCATTGCCATTTAAGTGTAAATAAAGTTTATACCATGAGGAAGGGTACCTAGGAAGTAGTGCCCTGTTATTTTCTCCACCATCTCAAAATGCTTTCCAGGATCAATTTGGAGTTGCTGACTTGCTGGGACTTACAACTACTGCATTTTCAACTAATCTTCTTACTTGGCTTCCCCAGCTGTCGTCATACTGAATGGGATTTAATTTTTGCAGCAACTTGCTTATCTTTGAAGTCAGTGTTATCCCTTCATAAAATCCTTTGTGTGCCAAAGATTAGAGGAGCCATTCTTTAGCATGCTCAGCTTTTGGAGCTCCTATAGGCAACCTAGAGAGTCTGATAAAACCACTGCATCTAGAAACATATTCATTCTGATTTGAGAATCAAACAAGCTGTTCAGAAGCCCAGCTTAGCCAAAAAGGAAATCAAAACAGTTTTGGACACTGCTGAAAACAAGCAATATTTTTTAGAGCTGAGGGGAGATGAAGTTCACTTTTGACTATCTGAACTAAAGTCATTCTAATCTCTCTAAAGTTTAAACTAATTTATGTTTTTTGTCTCATTGTTCCTAAAAAAGACCCACTATATTCAGGTAACATTTTTCTGCATCATGGGGTCTTACCCTTGTTTTAGTCTAACAGACATTCTGAAAGACTAAAATATAAACAAGGGTTTATTGAATATGTTTTCATTCTAACATCTAAAGGCAGATTTGTTATTGAAAGAGTTACTTTATTTATCAATCTGGCTTAAAACCAACCAGTTTCATGGCTGCTAATCAGACTACAGCAGCTGCCACCTTCAGAAGAACATGTGTGTGCCAAGATGTCTGCTGACTGCTTTGTAATTTCCCAGTACAGCTCCACAGGCTGCTCAGTCCTTCCTCTTGCATCTGAATCTCATGAACAAAGAATAACAAATTTCTGAAATGAGAGTTTGTAGATGTAAAGTGCTATCCACATGAAAAAAATAGCATTTTGTAGTATTTTATTAGATTTTGTATTAATTCCAGCACCCAAGTTTTCCCCACCCCCTAAACGGCCCAGCATTTGCTGGCAACAGAACAT